CCTCCCTGGCACTACCCACTCCTTTGTCCATCTACCCATTGGCCTATCTATAGTTCACAACTAGATCACAAACTACCGAAATTCACAATTTTGCCTTTTTAATGCTGCACAGCACCTAGCAAATGAAAAGTATTTAATATTTCTTGATTGAACTCAAGTGATTAACTAATAAATATGTTCATCAAGTGAAGACCGTGAGTGCTAAATAAAAAAGATCATAGCAATGTCAGAAGGGCAAAGTACCAGATGCCTTTCATTTTTGTATTTGCAAAAGCAGACTGTTTTGAATATATTGTTTAGGCTTCTGGATCAGCATAATAGCCTAAGATTGGCCAGTTCAAAGCTAGTCTTAAATGCATTTCTCTAAACAGCAATGTTTTGAAACCAGACTCCAGACAGAGGGAGATGCTGGTGTTGGATCTCAGGTGAGGGATCAGTGCCTCCTAAGAGAGTCTGACATGCAGGTTCTTCATTCCAAGAGACCCTTTCCAAGTGCAGAGCCCCTTTCTAGCTTATGTAGTTATTTTATAATTGTATTTGTTCCACCACATGGCCATGTAACAATGGGTAGATGGGGCTTCTTCAGAATTTTATACCTCATAAATTAGATTTGAAAGTTTAACATGTACCCAACACTAGAAACTTCCTTAGTTGTGTAGTAGTGGGTTGAACATTTACTAAAGTTTATTGTAATTTTTTTTTGCTGGATTTAGGAAACATTTTAAATTAAATGTCCAATGGGGATCAATGAAAACAGAATTGCTCCCTCTCAGTATAGGTAGCTTCTAATTCACACCCTCTTATCACTTACAAGAGAGGATCTTACCCTGGCCTGGCCTCCTTGCTCCCACAGGGAAAGAGGGGCTCACATGACCATGGGAGTCTGGCAGGGAAAATTCCACAGGAAGCGCATGGGCTCAGTGACTGGGGAACGGGTGGGACTGTGGAAGCTGGGAAGGGCTGAAGGCAGCTGATCTCGGGCAGAATCTCAGGTGAGATCAGCCTGACCAACTAGCTGTGGGGTCCAAACAGCCTCCTGCAAGGCCAGCACTTGTGTTGTTGATACTGTGCTGAGACACTCGAAACTCCATCATGTAGATGGGCATCCTAGCAGAAGTTGTGGCAGAAGGGAGTTTACTGGGTGCCTGGGGAGGGTCGTGAGAAGTACGAGGTTGGCGAATAACAACTAGGACACCTAGTTATGGAGCACAGGCATTACAGAGCAATATTTCATTTAATGCCTTGGCAGGTTTAATATTATCCCGATTTTACAGATGAGGAAACAGAGGCTGAAGGGATTTTAAGTCACAACTGGTTAAGTAAGTGGAGGGCCGATCTGATCTGAATCTGGATATATTGCTCTGATCTGAATATATTAGCTTGTGTTCATTCTTTGAAGCCTCTTGATACCATGCTCTATGTTCTCCTTCTGTAGATTATGGGCACCCAGGGCAGAGACTCTCATCTGGTCATCTTGAAAGTTACATCATGGTTTACATAGGTTTCTGTGAGCCTAAGAACTTGATAGTTTGCTTAAAAATTGCTTCTATAGGAAATTTCGTGACTTGCTACCAAACTGGTGGGATATAATCTCAGTATTACAATTGAGGATTATCTGTAATTACAATTTAATCACAGAATAATGCCTCTGCTAGTTGGCTTCTAGTTGCACAAAATACTAAGCCCACTCTGCCCAAGGTTCCTTTATTTTTAGTTTTTTACACACATCACACCTGTTCATTTACTGAGAAGTATATTCCACCAGGGCAGAGACTGTTCTCTACGAGGTGCACCAAGGTACTCCTAGCACCTAGGACAGTGCCAGGCACATACAGGCACACAATAACTATTTGCTGAATGGATATGTGTGTTCACGTTGCACAATGTTACGACTACACACATTTTATGTCTTTAGGTGTAAAACAGATTTAGAGCTGAAATATGAAGCAAGATTATAATGTGTTAACCTTCAATAAATTCAAGGAATGTATGACAGGCTTTAGTCATTAGTTGAAGAGCTTCCTTTTAAATAAAGTGTTTTCCTCTCCCACAAAAATTGCATTTCAGTAGTTTGGGGAAACTGTTCCCAGTTTCAGCAGACCCACACCCTGCCATCAAGGATCTTTGGGACTTTGGACAAGCTGCTTTACCTTTTTAGATCTCAGAACCAGAAAGATTTCCTTTTAGCTTTAAATGCTATGACATCTGTGAGTTTCACTTTGTAGATTCCTCACACTTACTCTGTTTCTCTTTGGAGAAGGTACTGGCACAAAGAAAAACAAATGAACAAAGAGAAAATGAGAAAAGTCTTGGATGCTGCAAAAGGCAAATCACAAGTCCTTGAGTTTAGACAAGTTAGAAGCTATTAGAGGAGACAGCTAGGGACCATTTACTTTAAAGTCAGCCTCTAGTTGAGCTAGTTAACCAATTATGGTTACTTCATACTATGTGTAAGTATTTGGTTAGTTCATACTACACATGAATTGAATTGTGGATGTTTCATTTGCATTGGAACCAGTAGAAAAATGCACTCTCAAGGGTGAGTGTATAGAATGGGTATAGTTCCCCTTGAAAAGCACATAGTGACTTAATGTGGTGAAAAGCTCTTTTGCTCAATTACTACATTATAAGCATCTGAAGGGAGGTAGAGGGACCAGAATTTATGGTACTTTCTATTTTCAAATGAAATACAGTGACTTAATGTTTTCCTACATAAGCCTTAACCAGTTGCACCATGTATAATGCAGCATATAAATGTCAGCACTGTGACAGGGGCGTGTTGACGCTGGTTGAGAGTTCAAAGTCTGCACACTGTCATTATTTTGCCTTCCCTGCACTGACAGCTTGCTACCAAATTGAACATACCTGGAAAGAAGTCAATTTGGCTTAGGATACAGCTCACTTTCCCTTCGAGAACATGTCTCTGTCAGATTTCCTCTAGGATCTTTTGAGTCTCCTATAGATAAACAGAATTGGGTATGTTCTGCTGATTCAAATATTAAATAGAACAGTCAGAATCTTGTCCCTTGATGATGTAGCATCAGTTTGGCAAAAGGGAAGTAATCCCCTTACCACATGTCATGCCCTTCCTCATGCAATCAGGATCAGTGCTAACTTGCTTGCTGTGTGGCTGGTTGTACCTTTTATGATTCTCTTATGTATTATCAAGCAATAGCGATTCAACCCTGGCTGCACAGTAGACCCACCTGGGGAATGTCTAAAAGTCCAGATGCCCACGACACACCCCAAACCAATTATCAGAATCTGCTGGGATGGGGTCCAGCATCAGCATTTTAAAGTTCTCTGAGTGATTCTAGACTCTGTTTCTGAGTTTCTTCCTAAAAGACAGTTGGGACAGGAGCATGAAATGCCAAGAAGCACATCTCTTAGCCACTGGCATTTTGAAGCAGAAAGGCCTCCCTTTATTCTATGGTTGTAAACACGTCATAGGTTCTAATGTACGCAATTTGTTCAGATTTAACTGACAGTACAAGCAGAACCAGGAGCCAGTATTTAATAAGCCTAGGTAGTTAAATTACTAATATGGCAATTAAACCTCCATGAAATAATCAATGAGCTTTATTATCTGGCACAGTCATTTTTCTCTCTTAAATATCCAAGTTAGAACTCTAACCTGCCATTGTGTTCCTGTCGCTGAACTAGCCTGTTCCACTGAAGGAAAAATAAGTTACTCAACTTGCACTGTGTACTGCTCTGAAGACAATGCACAAAGGGCATTTTAAATTGAACTTTTATTGGACAACAATTATGTACACCAAATTCATGATTGAAAGGAAAGCTTTTAAAGATAGGTGTATGTAATTAATTAACTCTTGGAGGAGGTACTTGAATTTCAACCACATTCTCTTTCTAACCCTAAATCATTCTTGAAGGTCCACTTTGTCTATTAAAAAATGCACTTTTTCTTTCTTGTGAGTTGCGGAAGAAGATGCTTTTGTTGCTGTACTAAGCATAAAATAAGCACATCACATTTCATGGGGTTTTCCTAGCCCAAGGCCACCATGTTTGGGGAATTCCTAGCACTTGGCTGACTTGTGCTGGGATGCTTCCATCATCATTATGACCAAGGTGTGTTTCAAGTGAAGCGTTGCTAGAAGAACAACGGAGGGGGGGCAGTGTGGTATCCTGGCATACCGTTCCCTATTGCTTTATTCTGGGGCTATGTCAAATTTTTTATTACTATCTTTGTTGGCTACACACTTCTCCAATAGTCTCTTTATAATCTGTAATCTAGAACACCTCACTTTATGCTCAAATCCTGAGGAGTGGAGGGTAAATTATATCAAGTCACTTGACATGCCCTAAATGACTTGCTTCTAGAATGTGTTCACTTTTGAGAAGTAAATCACTGATTTATTTTCTGATAAGAATAATTTGGTTTTTTTTTCTTAAAAGTTACTATTGTCATATGCGGCATGAACTACAGCTTCTTCCCCCATCCCAGCCTGCACTATTTACCTTTACATCTTTTTAGAACTGAAACTCTTCTGAACTGACTTGACACTACCCAGATGCATGCTTTGAAAACCTAGGCCCTTCTGTGTTTTCTCTGTCCTTGCCTTGGTTTTGTGAGAACCCAGCCTCTTGAAAATGCAATAGTTTTCAGAATTAAGCCCAACCAGGCACAGCAGAACAAAGTGCTACAGGGGAAAGAAAAAATTGGGAGTGTGTCTACATGATAGAACAGGGGAGAGAAGGAAACAGGTTGCATGTTGCCGTGGTGATAGTGGTGGGACCAATATTTGTTCCTCAGCGTGATAAAGGGAGAGCAGGAAAACCCTTCAGCTGCTGGGAAAACCATACTGTGTCACTGAAAAGGCATCTGGGGCTTCTGGGAAGTCACGCACCCCTAGGGGACTTTAGCACCCGCAAGGCCTGAGGCACAAGACCTTGAGGGCTGGCTTGGGGTGCATGAGTGCGGCGGGTGGGGGTTCCAGGGGTCCGCCATCGGCCCCCCGCGGGGAGGGAACGGTTCTTACAGTCACTGCTCAGCGCGAAGGGCGCGTGGCGGCCGAGGGAGCGGTCTTCGGCGGCGGGCGCCTCGGGAGGCCTCTTACCGGCGGGCAGCGGGAAGGCGGACGCGGTGTGGAGCAGCACCAGGCAGACAGCCACGACATCCCATAACTTCATTTTAGAGTCCCGTCCGACGGCGGCACCTGCGCGGGCGTGCGGCGGGGAGAGAACCGTAGAAATGCAAGTTAGATTTGGGCGCCCAGGGCTGTGACGCTGCCCCGCCCGGCGCCGCTGGTACCCAGTCAGACCGCAGGCCACCTCCTCTGCCCCCCAGTCCTAGGGGCCAGATTTTCGATCGAGGCCACTGTCCCAGCCGCCGGTAAACCTCGCAACAAGGCAACGGAGAAATTCCTGGCCTGTGCCCTTTACTGGACCCCGCCCCTCATTACCTAGAGGGTAATCTAGTGGCTCCCATCCTGGGCCCCAGCCAAAGACCTTTCCTCCTGGCCTGGCAGCGACCCCTTAGGCTTCAGAGCCAGCTCTGACACAAGCAAGTAACAAGCCTTGGGCGATAAAATCAAGCGCACCCCTCCTCCCGCCCGGACTGTGGTCCTCCTCCCAGGCGGGGTGTGTAGGGAGGGAGATGGCAGCTCAGGGGAACCCCTAGCCCTCTGCTGCCTCCACGCTTTAAATTTACCATACAAATGATTGTCACCGGAACTGGTAGGAGCTTGGAGACTTTTATCCTGTATGGAAATATGTCGGTGAAGTTACTTAACTTCCGGAGCATCAACTGGGTTTAAAATACCAGTTCTACCTTCTAAGATTATTAAAGTCGAGTAACGCTTGAAAGGGTCCATCGAGGCATAAATGTTCAATAAATGTTCTACCACTGCCGTTGGTCTGGGATTGTATTTGTCTAGGAAAATCTAATCCTTTAGGGTTACAACTGAAAACTCTTGGTTTTATTTTTATAGCTTTGCGAGATTCTGGTCTACTCTCTTCCCTCACGCAGAGGAAGCAGTTGCTGGCTCTCTGGATCCCCACCAAGCCTGCTCAATCGAACCCTTGCTAGCTGCACCCGAAGGCCTAGACTGACACCCCATTGGGGTACCTGTCTCAGCAAGGCGGCTCCTTTTGACTTCTCAGGCCTTAAACCCTTGGAAAGGAGGGCCACGCAGTGGGAGGGGTGGACAAGCAAAAGCCACCCTCGGGCTAAGCCCCACCCAGAGAAGAGGTGGAGGGGGACTAGACACCCGGGTTTCGGGTTGAGGTGCTACCCAGTTCCTTCCTAATTCCAGTGTGCCAGTCTCCAGGGAGCTAGTGACTGAAGAGAATTCTCACACTATGAAATTAACGCCGTTGATTACCCCCCCCCCCCCACATTCCCTAAGAAAATGTATTCTTTGGGAAACCTCGAAGTTTCTTGGGGGAAGGGAAAGACACTTTCCAGATAATGCAAACCAAACCAAACCAAACCAAACCCTCAACCCTTTTCTGTCTGGACAAGGATCGAATCAAATTTCCCCATAAGTTCAACCTTGAACCTATCCATTGAATTTGATTCGGTTCTCCTCCAACTCAGTTTGCGACCAGAATCATGGAAAGAATAAAGTTCGTGAACCGAGACATCACTAGTTCCCAGGAGTTCCCACCTCCCTTCCAGGATATCCCCAGCCCCCAGGGCAATCTCCACCCAGAACTCCGGCCGCGGCCGGGTGCGGGCCACCCGGGAAAGCTTTTAATTCGGCCGCCACCTCCCACCGCTGAGGACGAATGCATTTTCCATCCCTTGGGCGCCTGTTCCCTGTGCAGCTGTTGGGCTCCAGGAGCATGTAGGGCCCAGGACCTCCGAGCGTCTCGTGCGGCGCAAACCCGCTAAAAAGAGACGTCCCTGGCTGCCGCGCGTAGGCCCAGGAAAACTACCAGGACGTGCAAGATGAGCGCGGAGAGGCGCGCTGGCTGGGGCCCGGGGAAAGCGAAGCCCCCCGCCCCCGGGTGCGTGCTAGTGGCCGGCGTCCGGGGAGCAGGGCGGCGCAGGGTTCCTGAGCCGTCTCAAACCGCGGTGCCCGCCGGCAGGAAGCGCCAGAGGCATCAGATTTCCCTTCCGCATTAAGAGGGTTTTCCCTTTTCCCCTCGCATGACGACGGAGGGCTTTTTAAATTGGACGTGGAGAGCCTCAATTAGAAGTGTGGCGAAGCTGGCAAGAGAGGAAACAGTGCATGGCTCTCCGCCTCGCCAGAGGAGGCTCCCGTTCCCGCCCAAGGCTGGGTGCCGCGGGAGCCCCGAAAGCTCCCCCATCCCCCAGGACGGGGAGGGCACGTTCTTCCCGGGGCCAGCCCAGGTCTCAAGGGCTCTTTAGTTCCCGGCATTTGCGGGCAGCAGACGAGCGGCGGGGGTCTGGGGACTCCGCACGCACCGAGGTTTCCTAGGACGCTCTCCTGAGTCAATCTGGGCCCCAACCCGAGGCGTCCCCGTTTGTCTCTCTGTCGCTTTCCTAAAACACATCTACTTTTGCCGGACGCGTTTTCCTCACAACCCTCAGCCTTTGCTACGCGCGCCAGTAGCTTAATGCGCCACCACGTGAGCGAGCCAAGCTTTGCTCTCGGCGTCGGCTGCCCAGGCGACCCTGCTTTCGCTCCTGTGCCTGGCAAGCTGCTTCCTCTCTGGGTCTGGGACCAACGCACCCTGGCCGGGCAAAAGGGAAGCGTCACAAGCGTTGCTCCCCCTGAGTCCCCGGTCTGGGGCGGAAAGGAAGCCCAGGAAAGCCAGAGGTCTGCAGAAGCCGCCGCCCGTCGATTCTGAGTTCCCGGCACCAGGGGGCACCAGAAACCGCCCGAGTTCTGTGGCGCCCACGCGGCCGCGAGGCTGTGTTGTCATTTTAAGTGTAAAAGCGGAGAACAACCACTCCCTCTACAATCCTCCCTCAGTCCAGGAGTTAGCCTGGGAACCTGTGGATGTCCTCAGCGGCATCCCCGCCTTTAAAGCTCCTACCTCTCCATTCTCTGTCGCGAGCTTCCCTCTTCCCACCACACCTGAGGTGGTTTCTGGGCAACCTCCCTTTAGACACCCCTCCCTTCGTCGCCGAGACAGCGTGCAGCGGGCGAGCGCTCCCGCCGCTGGGAGGTCTGTTGGGGGCTTTGCTTGCAAGATCCAGGTCTCTGGCAGAGACAGGCAGCGGTCGGGGGCGGGGTTCGCTATAAACTCCAGGCTTTTTTGGGGGACAGGGCCAGAAATTACTGAAAGGTCTATTGCTTTTCTTCACTGTGGCTAGTGTCCTTGACGGGTGGAAAACTTACCCTCCTCTTAACCCCCATAACTGCCCGACCCAAGACGAGGGGAAGAAAAAGACTGGGGAAGCTTTCGGCGAGCAAGCTGGGGACGGGTCTGTCTGTTAGAAGGCAACAGGCCCGGGAGCTCGGAATCTCTTGCCAGAAGAGGATAGGGGCGCAGCGGGCTTCTTGGCCACTCGACTTTTGTCACTTGTTGAAAAGGCGACACTTCCAGCACCAAAGCGAAGGCACAGTGAAACAGGGAGGGCTGGAGCAGGAGGAAACCAGCGGATCCCACTTTGAGGGTTCTGCAGGAAGGGTGAGCGCGGGGGTGGGGTGTATGGAAAGTTGCATCTCTTCCCTGAAACATTTAAGTAAATATTCAAAGTCCAGAGGAAGAGTCTCAGGCGCGCTCTCAGATATTCGCTTCTGGGGTCGAGAGTTGTTTGTCCCCCACCACTAAGCGCAAGTGTGTGATAAGCTTGGGGCCCGCTCAGCCCTCCCAGGGCGCTCTCAGCGGCTCTGCAGGCGGATTCTGCCACAGCCAAAAGTAGCGTCGCGCCAGGAGGCTGGGGGTACCCGGTGAAAGTCCGTTCCGCACGGAGGAGGGTTCCTCCTCACTGAGTGCGGCTGGAAAACCAGCCCCGAAGTGATGCAAAAGAGCGGTGGGGTGTTACTGGGGAAGGGGGCACGTAGTACAGGAGAAAAGAAGTCGTTAGAACAATCACCTCGATGGCCTAGCGGAGACCTCGAGAAGTCCCAAGAATCTGTTGGAGACGGAACCCAGAGGCCAGGACTGTCCAAGGAGTCCCTCTCCTAAGGTCGACAGGAAGAGGGCATTAGGAAAGTGCGAGCAAACGGACTCGAAAGGGGCCAGGAATGTAGCTTTGCAGGACCTCGCCCGGAGGAGGTGAGCCCGTTATTTTTAGATTCTCAGCACCTTTGCAGCGTTCTCTCCCCTTGGGCCTGAGCTTTTTCCTCCGAATAGACCAAAATAAACTCAATAGTAAGTTACACTGTTGGCAATGTCAACATCTCTGCAGCTGAGCGCCCGGAAAAGACACTGGTGGGTTTGAAGATGAACCAAGCCCCACGTCGTTCGAGTACTTGACAGAGGGGCGCCATGCCGAGATGGGGAGGAAAACTGCCCCTCTCAGGCTTGTGGCGCTAGGGGACATCAGGGACTCCCCAGACCTTTGCCTAAGTGGAAAAAGGGCAACCTGTTCCTCTGCTAGTCTGGCCTCTCCCGTTCAGCTTCTCTCTCTCCTCCCTCCTATCTTTCCACTTCTCTCACTGCCCGCTCCGGGTCCAGCCGCGCCCTTCTATCTCAGGCGCCCAGCAGCCCGCCTTGCCCGCTGGCGCTGGCGCCACTCGCTCCCTCCACCACAGCCCGCTCCCTCACTCACCTCGGATCCGGTCTCCGCAGACCCCCAGTTGGACATTAACTCCAGGTGGCCCGAGTCCCAGCCGGGAGACCCATGCGGGCCGAGGGCAGGAGCGCGGAGCCCCGCCCAACAGGTCAGGGGCACGAGTTCGCAATCCTGGGGTCGCGCGGGGCAGCGAGGGCACACAGGAGGCGGCGGCCAAGGTTCCAGCCGCCGAGGCCGCGAGAAGGGCGAGGGCTGCAGACACCTCCCCAGCTGGCCTCCCGCCCCCCGAGAAGCCGAAGTCCGAGCAGCCGCCCCTGCCTTGGGCGAGGGGTGACAGGGCTGCGCGCACCGCGCTCTTGGCTGGGGCTGCGCGGGCCCCGGGCGCCGGGGGCGGCTCAGCGGCGGCCGAGACTCTCCGCGCCTCCTCGGGGCGCAGCGGCTGGGAGATGAGCCTGTCTGATGCTGCCGCGGGAGCTGAGGTCTTGCCTGGAAATCCGAAAGAGACACCACGTCAACCCGCGCGGGCTGTCCCTTGAAGACATGAGGGCGCCAGGAGCGCAGGCTGGTCGTCGAGAGCCCTGGCCAGGGGGCTGGGGTGGGGGAGGGGAGGCGCGGGGCCCGGGGAGGGGAGGGGTCGAGATCCTGCGGCGGTCCCGGCGGTGGGGGAGGGCTAGGAGAGCTGCGATTAGGCGCCGGAGCTCCCGAGGTGGGGGTGAGAGGTGCAAGTGGGTGACGCCAGGCGCCCCTCCCCGGGGTGGAGGGAGAGCGCTGAGCCCGTGAAGAACCAGCCGGGCTCGCGCCTTCTTCTCGCCGGGTAGATCCGGAGGAATGTGCGGAGCTCGGCCCGGACCCACCAAAGGGGACAATCCGAACTTCGCTGCTGCGCCCTCGCCGGGCTTCGCCTCTGCGCCCCTCGCTGGGAGGGAGGACGCTCTGCCTGGTGCTGGGCTACACTGGGCTTTCCTTGCTCCTGTCGAAGGCGTTCCTTCCTCCTCCGGTGTCTCGCCCTCTCGCTTTTCTGCTGCGCAGAAGGCAGCGGGAGAAGAGGAGCTACCAGCTGGGGTTCTCCTAGCACCAAGAAGGAGCGATGTAGAGCAGCCCAGAGAGGGAAGCCAAGTGTTTGCCAGGGGACGCTGAGAATTGGGATGCATTTATAGGGCTCTCACTCCGTGACGTGCCCTCCAGTGGCTTTTCTGATTCGCTTTCTGACCTAAACACACATTAGTTTAGTCCCCATGCTAGGGCCAACACAGTCTCCAAATATCTGCTGGCTGAAGTCAGAGGTTTTGCATATCATGTATTACATGGCAGGCAATGAAGAAGGCTTCTGAGGCTGGCCGGCTCCTCAGTCCTAGGCTCCATTTTCATGCTGTTGTAACATAATACCAGACATGGGGTAGGCACATACATTCAAAATCCCAGCTCCAGAGGAATAAGATCACTTTATCAGAGAGAGGTCAGGGGAGGTTGGGGAAAACCTACTTTATACAGATTTTCAAAAAATGCAAGTGGGCAAACACCGGTTGGGTACTGGGCTTCCAGCGAGCAAGGACCCAGCCCCCTTCCAGAGCTCTGTGAATGGGAGAGGTGAGACCTTTTCAGCATTCCTTTTGTTGGTTAGATCACCACCAAGAGCAGCCAGGAGCCTTCCTTGGTAGAGGACAGGAGGAGGGCAAGTCCTTACACACCCTGTGCATGGCTGTAACCATAAATGCGTTCCATTCACATGGGGCGTGGAATTAACTCTACTTTTACAATCATGCACTAAATAAGGTATGTCTTTGCTAAGCAGAAACCTATTTTCCGGAAGCCAGTGGACCTGAATTCAGTGGGGCCTCTTTTATTAGTTGGGGACAGGGAACGTGTAAACAGGCTCAGTTTACATCCATGTACCTCTTATGTGATGACTCATCCGGTTGTTGGGGAGTATGTGTTCTTCAAGTAGCGGATACAGACAATAGACTGGGAATGTGTGTGGCAGAGTGGGGGGAAGATCACACATTATTAAACTTCTTAAAAGTCAAAGATCAGCTACTCGGAGGGTTGTCAGTGAAGTTAGCGTGGGCGGAAAATTGTTCTTACTAACATTACTGTGATTTAACATTAAGTGAAGTGAAAGTCAAGTCATCCAAACATACTTTACCTGAAATCAGAATGCTCTTTGCAGATCTGTAGAATGAGACATTCCTTGCTTTGACAGATTTATGGTAGCAATGTATATGGATTTGGAAATAGGAAGATGGAATGAGCTGAATGTACTTTTTGCACTTTAGCATTGATTTTGGAATTTGGAGATGACCCTAATCAGTGTTTTTTAAATCATAAATGATTTCTTCATTTTAAGAAGGCTTTTCATTGGGGATGGTCAGGCCATCCAAGAACCTGCAATTATTTAGCACTTGCTCTATGCCAGGCAAAGTGGTAGGCCTTGGGAATTGTAGTGATTGGGCTTTTGGGGTTTCAAGGACCAGATATCACTGAGTTAACTCTGAGGAATGGGAGTTTATTGTGGAAGGAATCTCTACTACTCAGCCACGTGTCTCCAAAAAGCCTTCCGGAGAGGCCACCCAGCCAGGCCTCACGAAAACGGGATTGAAATTCAGGAACTGGAAGGTCATTCAGGATATGGCTGTGGGACTGGGTTGTCTTGCTACCTCCAGCAGCAGGCATCTGCCGGTTCCTACTAACAGGCTTAGCTGTCAAGGTGATTCAGCCTCCCTTGGTCCCTGTTTTTCTCCTGGCGTCCTTTGGCTTCTGCTCCTGCTACCAACTGCTCAGCTCTCTGTTGATCTCACATTTAAACTTCTGGAGCAAAAGGATCTAATTTGCTCAGCTGGGCACTCACCAAGTGCTGGAGTTGGATTGAGCTTTTGTATAGGCCTCCTTATAGGTGGCTGGTCACCATGTAGATGGGCAGACCTTAGGTCAGGTGCCTATTCCTGGGCCAATCATCTATGTTGATTATTGGTGTCATAGGGTACACAGCCTGGCCCCCTTTGTTTAGTAAACATCCCGGGGTTCCCTCAGAAGGAATTGTGTGAATGGCAGGCACTTGGAGTTTTAACAGCCCTGTGTCTATTACAGGACTCATGACACAACTCCTGGCCCTATGGAAGGGAGAGATGCATATAAGTAGTCATGGTACTGTATAAAGTGATAAATACTTGAATGAAAGTGTACATGAGGCACTCATGTGCTGGAGCCTGATCTTCACATGGCCCATGGAACCCTGAGGAGATTGTGAAAAATACTCATACTTATTCAGGTAATTAAGTCAGCATCTCTTGAGGTGTAGAGCCCAAGAGTTGATAGTTTTTAAATGATCCCTAGATTCATCAATTAGCTTTATTTTTTCAATGGTTACAAGCACTTTCTGATTCTTTTTGAAAGCAAAAATGAAGAAACTCACTATATTTTGATAGGTTCTAGGACTAAGAGTCTTTTAAAACATTAAATTCCGTTTGGAATATTAGTAATTATCACCAACAGTATTATAAAAGAAGCTGTAATATTTAGAATTAAAGCAAATAAATTTGAAACATTTATATCCAGAATCACAACATGCTCATGAATGCAGAACATCTTTCTGAAGTGACTACCTTGAACATAGATAACAAGTATCTGGTGTCTTGGGGACCAGGATGGCCTGATGTTACAATCTCCCCATCCCAGAAAGCTGGGTCTTCATCTCCTTAAAGATACAAAGATATGTTGGATTTGAAGCTGTTTCTTAGTCAAGGCTAGGAGAGAACAATTCACAGCATTGCTTTGGCTCTTAATAGCAGAGCATCCTCTGATAAACAGCAACTAAGAATTCTCACTTTGTCTCTAGATCTCAGCTTTTCATCTAGAAAACACTGCCTGAGGATCAGTGAGAGAAAGTGTTCTAACATCCCATCTCTTCTTTTAGGAAAAAACTTTGAAGCCCTGTTCACTTCCCCTTTCACTGGTATCACCATCTTCATAGGAATTTCTCTTGGATCTCTAATGGAAGGGTGTCTAAATAGTTGTTGCTCACTGTGATCAAGGTTCTTACAGTCCCTGGGAAGGAAAAAGGTGAACATGAAATTAAAAATTAATAGTCCGTAATACAAAGCTGTGGAACTCAAAGTAGGTCTTGACTGAGGTGGGTGCACAGAAGGGGGTAGTGGTTCAGACTAATTGAAAGTGACTCTTGTGGAGACCCAAGCGAAGTGCATGCACATTGCTGCTCAGCCCCTGGCCAGGCCCTGTAGGGCTGCAGCATCCATGTTCGTGGGGTGGGTGGGTGGGCAGCCTTTGGCCTTTCACAGAGAGTTCTCAGTGAGCTCCCAGGGCGCCTTTGCAGCTGCTTGGTCTATAAAGGCAGGACCGGAGTCCCTGGACTCCCTCATAATTTGGGCCATGATGGTTGAAAGGGAATCTATCACTTAAGCAGGGCAATTTCCTTTTCAAAGTCACTGCTTTATTGGTCCGAGATTTGTTCTATGTTGTTCACTCTTTAACAGCTATTTTCACCAATGGTACTATTACTTATGAAGAAAAGACAAATGTTCCCTCAGACCATTTTAAAAAGAGATAGAGAAAAGGGGGGGAGGAAATGGCCTTGTAATGGCTTTCTTGCAAAGCAGTGAGACAAAACAAATTCTTTGGAGCAAATTATTTTTCATAATTTATTAATCCTGACATTGTCAAGGTGGAGTTATGAATGATTTCCAGCAGTTTCCTCGATAAGGATCAGATCATCTAATTATCTGCTAATTTTGTTTTTCATCATCAAGATTACTTTATGAGTCTCTTCTTTTCCAGAAATAAAACTTCAATCAGGTAAGCTGTAAAATTTAGTTTAGAATTTGTAGACTTTGTTACTATGGAAATGGTCTAATGGAATTATGAAATTATAGAGCTGGAAAAGACCTGAGGTTTCTAGTCCAGTCTCCTTATTTAACCAAGAGAGCAAATGGAGGCAGAGGGTGGTTAAATGACTTATGCAAGGTCTCTGAATAAATGACATTCTCTACCATCCAAGTAAGTGTCGGGTTGTGCACACACGTGTGTGTGTGTGTGTGTGTGTGTGTGAAGGAGCCTGGTGTGTGTGTGTTGTGTTATAATTCTTTGAAAGTGTGATTTAATATAATTTACTGGGCAAGAAATGGGTCAAAATTCAGAATGAGATCTTTCTGTTGAAAGATCAGTTGGAGTCTTTCTTGATGGCAGAGGTTGCTGTCAGGCTGAATGGAGAACCAAATTTTGAAATGATCTCAGGCAGAGCAGAGAACTAAATAGATTTTTTTTTCCTTAAAAGATCATTAATTTTCTAATAGCCATCACAAAAGTTGAAGAGAGGAGGGGGAGAGAAAAAGAGAGAAAGAGAGAGAGAGATTGAGAGATTTCAGGGGGAAATCAAGGTACCCATGTCTGCTTCTTTTGCAAAGCAGAGCATCAAGTGCCTGTGGCAAAGCTTTTGGGACCTTTCTCAAAAGCTGGAATTCACAAGTGGTAGCTCAAGAATACTGACATT